CAGTCAGTAGCGTGAGAGCTGTGTGATTAGACAGTTGACAGTTTAGTATGAGGACGTGTCTTTCTTAATGATGGAATACTATGGATATATATATATGAAATTACATTCATGCAAGGATTATTTATTAATATTATCAATATAAAGTGTGTTCAATAAAGTACTGTAAGTTTAACCAGGATTCAGTATTCTTATTTGCGTGCCCGGATTATAAGTGAAAGAAAGAAGAAGCCTTAGTCGGCATCCTGAAATATCAACATAACATAAGTAACCATACTACTGACATAACCTACAGCATAAGAAATAAGATCCCACGCCATGTCAGAGTAGATGTGTTACACTCTTTAATATGCCTGACAGAAACATGGCTTAACAAAACAGTACCAGATTCAGCGGTGGCATTGGACGAATTTAACATTTTCTGTGCCGATAGAACAACCGACAGCGGCAAATCCAAGGGAGGGGGATTGGCAATAAAAACTGAATGAACTTCTTTTAGAATATTTTTTTAATAAGCATTAATGACTCCTAATGTCCAGGATTACGCAGACTAAAACAGCACTAACAAAAACTACTGTAGCATCAACAACAGTACGGTGAAACATGTTTGTACACTCATAAATCAAGTTGTACTTGTACAAATCAAGAACTACTCTGCACCACTTGAAGGCCATTTTACCTACCTAGGGAGTTCGCCCAAATCTGTATCATCCTCACTTACATTCCACGTAATGCTAACAAGGAGCAGGCTATTGAGATACTTTTGGATGTAATCCATAATTTCGAAACAAAATACCCAGACTCCGTTAATCTTGTTATGGGGGACTCTAATCAACTATCACTGGATGCCAACTTACACCCAGTACATTACTTGCCCGACGCGACAAGACCGCAATATACCGACCATTACAGCCTTCAAAACGGCACTCAAAACACATCTATTTAAACTCTACTATCCTGACTGATTCCCACCTCTGACCGAAAAACGATGCTGCTGGGTGTCGTCCATGGCTTGACATGTCAATATTTTTAAATATGCATTTGTTTTGTTTTATCTAATTAATGTAGGTTAATTAATTCTTTACGTTTTTTTTATTATGTTTGTTTAATTGTATGTACAGCATGTCAAGGCCAGCCCTAGGCTGGCGTACCACGATATCTAAAAGCACTTATAATAATAATAATGTGTTATGGTAACATAAAAAAAGGCCTAGACACCTCATGGTTTATTTCCTCTAGGAGAATCCGATCACACAATGGTCCGCCTAACGCCATGCTATAAGCCAGTTTTAAAAACAACAAAAATTCAATCAAAAACTATTGAACTGTGGTCAGATGAGGTGACAGAAAAACTTCAGGCCTGCTTGGAATGTACAGACTGAGAGACGTTTAGAAACACTTGCCCGGACATTGACGAGCTAACAAACACCGTCAATTCCTACATTAAGTTCTGTTTGAGATTAACGATCAGGATATGACCAATGATGCACCCTGCTTGCCCTGCCTCATTTTCTGTCTCGGGTTAATCCTGTAATATAGGCTAAAACGTGCCAAAGTGTCCTCTTTTTATAGCCATTTTAATTGTTTCTATAGTATAGTAGTTACTATCCTAGTGTCTCATTTTTATTTTACTTAGTTTACATGTTTTTTAATAATTGTAAAGCGCTTAGAGCTTTAAGGTAAGCGCTATATAAAAATGCCTAAATAAATAAATAAATAAGTATAGTAGTTACTATCCTAGTGTCTCATTTTTATTTTACTTAGTTTACATGTTTTTTAATAATTGTAAAGCGCTTAGAGCTTTAAGGTAAGCGCTATATAAAAATGCCTAAATAAATAAATAAATTAATTAATTTTTATTTTACTTTAGCAGTTTAAATAGTTCACATATTTTTAATAATTGTAAAGCGCTTAGAGCTGTAAGGTAAGCGCTATACAAAAATGCCTAAATAAATAAATAAATTCATTAAAGCTAAACAAAATATTGAAGGAAAAAATATATCGGGGTAAAAAACAATTTAAAAAAACAACAAAAAAAAAAAACAACCAAAAAAACAACCAAAAAAACAACCAAAAAAACAACCAAAACAAAGGTATTCCTTATTTATTATAAATGTTTGTTGGGTTGGTCTCAAGCAAAAACAGGTTCTATTCCTCAACGTGAATGCTTGTGAAGACGTGAAGAATTTTGTTAACGACTTAAATGACTTTTATTGTCGTTTGGACAGCCTGGACTTTGGAATTGTACACAATGAGATGATGAATTCATTTAAAGAGGGCAGTAGTACACAGGATGGTACTTTATTGTTCACCGAACAGGAAGTGATGGCATTATTATTATTATTATTATTATTATTTAGGCATTTTGTATAGCGCTTACCTTACAGCTCTAAGCGCTTTACAATTATTATAAATATTTAAACTTTAGCAGTAAAAGAACAATGAAAAACCAGAGACACTAAAATAGTAACTACAATGTGAAAAATGACTATAAAAACAGTAAAATTGCTATAAAAACAAGTACACTTTGGCACGTTTTGGCATTTCCTTAAATACAACCCGAGACAGAAAATGAGGCAGGGTAAGGAGGGTGCAATCACAGGTCATAGGCGGACCTAAACAGATGCGTTTTAAGGGACTTTTTGAAAATGGACAAGGTTTCACAATGACGGATATGGAAGGGAGCTGGTTCCAGAATGTGGGCCCATGGAAGCAGAAGGAGCGTTCACCGATGGTCTTAGTTTTGGTTCTTGGGATTGAGAGGGTTCTACTGTCAATGGAAGAGCGTAGCTGTCTTGTGGAGATGTAAGGAAGCAACAGTTCAGAGAGATAGACAGGAAGGTGAGGGTCAGTGAACGAGTTGAAGCATAGATTGGCAGACTTGTACTTGATGATGAAATGTTTTGAGAAACTTATTCTGAGACAAATTTTGAATGAAGTACAGCAAAAACTTGACTCCCACCAATGAGCTTTTAAACATTCCAGAAGTACGGAGGATGCTATCTTACTATTATTGGAGAGACTTTAACATCACCGTATAAGACAGCCCTAAACATTATGCCAGAGTGCTATTCTTAGACTTCTCATCAGCATTTAACACTATCGAACCACACCTTATGATAAAGAAGCTTTCCTCGTTAGGTGTAACTTTAAATATTCAGCCTTGGATATTGAACTTTTCAACAAATCGACCGCAATATGTCAAAGTAAGTGACCAATTATCTTTAACCAGAGATATAAGCAGCGGGGCGCCACAAGAATGTGTTCTCTTCCCTGTATTGTATACCATATATGCCAATGATATTCAAAGCTCAAGCGACACCATTCCAATTTTAAAAGTTGCTGATGATACCACCATTGTTGGCTTAATATCTGAAGGAGAAGGCACATACCGCAACTTAGTCACGAGCTTTATCAATTGGTGCGATTTTCTACAGCTGAATGTCTCAAAAACAAAAGAAATGGTTGTTAAATTAGGAGGGGGAAACACCAGATTACAGATCTCAACTTAAAAAAATCAAAGTGTAGAGAAAGTATAGGCATATAGGCACTTAGGTGTCACCAGTAATAATAAGCTAACATGGCATGAGCACGGCAAAATGCTGTATAAGAAATTCAACCAAAGACTGTTCTACCTCAAAAAACTGTACAATTTCGGCGTAAACAATCAAATCATTAACCTATTCTACAGTGCAGCAATTGGAAGCCTACTTAATTTCAGTATTACCTGCTGGTGTGGGAATTCAACGTCTGATATTAAACACCGCATAAACCGACTAATCAAGAAAGCTAGAAACATAACACAAACTAAACATCCTTCACTTGAAGAACTATTTGAAGAAAGATGTTTTTGTAAAACTAAACACATTTTGGATGATACATCCCACCCTCTTCATCACAGATACTTAGGATCGGGCCGTTCGGGACGAATTCTTTCCATCAGGGCGAGGACTGAAAGATATAAAAATTCTTTTGTTCCCCAATCTGTACAAACACTTTAGATGGCATTGCATGACAAGCTGTACATACACTTTAGATGACATGGCATGACAAGCTGTACATACACTTTACATGGCATTGCATGATAAGCCGTACATACACTTTACATGGCATTGCATGATAAGCCGTACATACACTTTAGATGGCATGGCATGACAAGCCCTACATACACTTTAGATGGCATGGCATGACAAGCCCTACATACACTTTAGATGGCATGGCATGACAAGCCATACATACACTTTAGATGGCATTGCATGACAAGCCGAACATACACTTTAGATGACAAGGCATGACAAGCCGTACATGCACTTTAGATGGCATGGCATGACAAGCCGAACATACACTTTAGATGACAAGGCATGAAAAGCCGTACATGCACTTTAGATGGCATGGCATGCCAAGCCGTACATTCACGTTAAGCCCCAACCTTGTTTTGATGCGCTTCACTTTATCTCCTTCATCCAACACCTTGCAACCCCCCCCCCCCCACCCCCGGGGTCGTGGTTAGTCTTACACAATCACACTACCCAATTTTTTATATTTATAACTTTTTATTTTATAGGGTTCGGCCCACATACCAGGCAGTGCGGTAATGAATGTTATTTTATACTGTCTAAAGCAGGGGCCAATAGACATTGACTTACTGAACCGTGTCGCAGGTATATGTAACATCAAGACTTGGTTCACTTTTCTCACAGGTTGTGCCTGTCATTTGTAAGTGCGCACTGAAGTTGATGTGAAGTGACTCGCAATTGTTCTCATTATCAAAAATTCACCCGACGATGGCACACTAATCAATCGTGTCTTTGGATACAATTCGTGTTGGCGATGAAAGTGACGAGAGACAAACAAATGATTAAATATGTTGTCTTAAATCTGTGTCATTTTGTTTAGAACATCTAGGTCTGTTAGAGATTGTCAGAAACGTTGTCATAGACACCCCAAACGTTGTGGCATTTTATTTGAACTATTAATTTCATTTTTTATAAACTTGCACAAGTATTTGTTTCCATTTCTCTATGACGTCAGTGACATTTCGAGACCCCTATGAATGGCACCGCACAGGTTGTAGTGGACTCTACGGCACGCCATCTTACAACGACGCATCTTAGAACGACGCCATCTTACAACGACGCCATCTTTCCACGAGGCCATTCTTTTATCTTTTCAAAACTACTTTTAAATTTCGGTATGCACTGTGTCGATGGAGATTAAGGATCGTGGATAAACAGATAGATTTATTAGAAAATTCTTTTAAAAAAAAATTACTTTCTTTAAATTAAGGTCTATTAAAACGCACGTCTGGCACATAACAGGACTTTGACATTTAATCATTATATATAATTATTGCGTATACAGGATGTGGTAGGCGGGATGGGCCCCTAGTGTTAAGATAATCTCAACTGGTCAATGTGTTAAATGCGGTAGGCCACTAGTGTTTAGATAATCTTAACTAGTCAAAGTGTGTAAATGTGGTAGGCCCCTAGTGTTAAGATAATCTCAACTGGTCAATGTGTTAAATGCGGTAGGCCACTAGTGTTTAGATAATCTTAACTAGTCAAATTGTGTAAATGTTGTAGGCCCCTAGTGTTAAGATAATCTTAACTGGTCAATGTGTTTAAATGTGGTAGGCCCCTAGTGTTAAGATAATCTTAACTAGTCAAAGTGTGTAAATGTGGTAGGCCCCTAGTGTTAAGATAATCTTAACTGGTCAATGTGTGATTTACACCATCCGGGGATCACAATAGATAATCTTAACTAGTCAAAGTGTGTAAATGTGGTAGGCCCCTAGTGTTAAGATAATCTTAACTGGTCAATGTGTGTAAATGTGGTAGGCCCCTAGTGTTAAGATAATCTTAACTGGTCAATGTGTGTAAATGTGGTAGGCCCCTAGTGTTAAGATAATCTTAACTAGTCAAAGTGTGTAAATGTGGTAGGCCCCTAGTGTTAAGATAATCTTAACTGGTCAATGTGTGTAAATGTGGTAGGCCCCTAGTGTTAAGATAATCTTAACTGGTCAATGTGTGTAAATGTGGTAAACCCCTAGTGTTTAGATAATCTTAACTAGTCAAAGTGTGTAAATGTGGTAGGCCCCTAGTGTTAAGATAATCTTAACTAGTCAATGTGTTAAATGTAGTAGGCCCCTAGTGTTAAGATAATCTTAACTAGTCAATGTGTTAAATGTTGTAGGCCCCTAGTGTTAAGATAATCTTAACTAGTCAATGTGTTAAATGTAGTAGGCCCCTAGTGTTAAGATAAGCTCAACTGGTCAATGTGTTAAGTGTTAGGTCACTCTGTAAATGTATTTTTGAAGAACGGCATTTGGGAGTGCACCATCGTGACCTACATTTCTCTACAGTGTAGATAGGGGCTGTCCATAAAGTATATCACACAACTATAAAATAATTTTACCACATTCCTCCCGCTGTCAAAATTCTCAAGCACCCCAGCCCCACTGTCACAACTGTCACAATTCTCACCCCACCCCAGCCCCGCTTTCACAATTCTCACCCAACCCCAGCCCCGCTGTCACAACTGTCACAATTCTTACCCACCCCAGCCCCAATGTCACAATTCTTACACACCCTAGCCCCAATGTCTCTATTTCCAACCGCTCTTCCAAACCTCCAGCTCTGTCTATTGGAGTTCCTCAAGGATCGGTCCTTGGGCCGGTCCTTTTCATCCTCTACACTAAACCTCTATCATCTCTCATTAGCCACCACTCAGTTTCCAGTCAATCCTTTGCTGATGACACTCAAATCAGTGACTCTTGCTTTCCTGATCAACTTGATGCCACAATCCTTCGCATACAGGAGTGCGTGGACGATGTAAAGCGTTGGATGACTTGCAACAAACTGAAGCTAAATGATGATAAAACGGAAATCCTTCTCATCCACTCTCAAAACAAACCTCTCCCTCCATTCGCTCCTTCTTCTATATCTATTGGCAACTCTGACATCACACTCTCTCCCTCTGCCAGAAACCTTGGAGTCACGCTTACGGACACCCTCTCCATGGACAAACATGTCACGAATATATGCAGATCAGCATATAACGAAATTAGAAAAATCAGCACCATTAGACACCTCCTCTCCTTTGATGCCACAAAAACTCTCGTCTCTTCACTCATTCTTTCAAAATTTGACTACTGTAACATTCTTCTCTCAGGCATTCCTCAACACCACATAGAAAAACTTCAGAAGGCACAGAACTCAGCATGCAGACTCATTTTTAAATTAAAGAAACATGACCACATTCAACCACACATGCGGCAACTCCACTGGCTTCCAATATCCTCTCGCATCAAATACAAGTCTGCCAATCTTTGCTTCAACTCGTTCACTGACCCTCACTTTCCTGTCTATCTCTCTGAACTGTTGCGTCCTTACATCCCCACAAGACAACTACGTTCTTCCATTGACAGTAGAACCCTCTCAATCCCAAGAACCAAAACTAAGACCATCGGTGAACGCTCTTTCTACTTCCATGGGCCCACGTTCTGGAACCAGCTACCTTTCCATATCCGTCATTGTGAAACCTCGTCCATTTTCAAAAAGTCCCTTAAAACTCATCTGTTTAGGTCCGCCTATGACCTGTGAAGCACCCTCCTTGCCCTACCTCATTTTCTGTTTCGGGTTGATCCTGAAGTATAGGCCATAACGTGTCAAATTGTCCTCATTTTATAGCCATTTTCATTGTTTCTATAGTATAGTAGTTACTATCCTAATGTCTCATTTTTATTTTAGTCAGTTTACATATTTTTAATAATTGTAAAGCACTTAGAGCTTTAAGGTAAGCGCTATATAAAAATGCCTAAATAATTAAATGTCACAATTCTCACCCAACCCCAGGCCCGCTGTCACAACTGTCACGATTCTCACCCACCCCAGCCCCATTTAAAGAACCTCACAATTTCCTAATTACAAGTTTTTAATAAGATTAAAAGCTAAGTAAAATTTCACCTGAAACACATTTCACTAGTACGCTATTCAATTTATAAAAGTGATAACTCATCAGAATACATCCATCACAACAGAAAGTTAAATATCCCTGTCAATGCCATGTTTTATTTGCATGATTAATGTCTTCACAAAAAGATCTTTTACATCATCCCCCCTCAAACCCCGTATCATAAACTTCCACACTTTCTATGTAGCCCCCCCCCACCCCAACCCTTTGAAGGACCAGGTACTTTTAGGACGGCCCCTTACGTAGTCATTAGCCAGGCATTGAGTTGGATACAGATCGAAGACGTTATTGAAGATCAGCTTTGGGGATAACGCTACGAAGGGAGCTGTTCGTGAACGAATGACTTTGATGACGCGGCTCAGTTGGCGTTAGTGGCACTGTTGGGGTTAGTGCCACTCGCAATGGGTCAAATAATTTTCCGCCCCAATTCCACGATGAACCCCTGCAGTTGTCGAAAATCTCGCCATTTATTATAAAGAAAAAAGCTGCCACCAGGGGCAAATCACATCCCACTCACCAACCCCCCTTTTCATACGCCACTGACTTAGAGATGTCCAATGTCTTAACTGTGTTTTTGTGATCTCTCCTTGTAGATCTCAAGCCTTAAGATGGAATCCGGAAGTAACAGAAAATATGTGTACATTGTTGTGTGCGCGAGCGCCCTGTTCACCTGTGGCGTGTCTCAGATCAGCATCATATCCGGCAACACCACCGAGAACAGGACAACATTCGCTGGCCTGGCCTACGTCACACAATTCGACAACACTAATTACACGGTGGCCAAATTCCTCGGGATCGCCTATGCTCGGCCACCCTTGGGAGAGAAGCGGTTCTCTAAACCGGAACCCGTCGACCACGGCAACATGACGTACGACGCGACCCAGTTTAAAAGTATCTGTTACCAGAGAGCTGCGCCCAACGACGGCTGCCAGAAGGGAAACACTATGGCCGAAGACTGTCTTTACCTCAACATTTACGTCCCTTTGCCCAGCATAAATCCATTGACTGTGTCATCGACTGAGTCATCCGTTAGCAACGCTTCATTACCGACGATGTTACTTCCTGAAGTTCAAGATAAATTTCCCGTCTTCGTCTTCATCCATGGCGGTGCCTACGTCGATGGCAACGGGAATTGTTACAGCGGCTCCGTTTTGGCGGCGTTTGGTGAAATCATCGTCGTCACCATCAACTACAGGCTCAACGTTTTCGGCTTTATATCCACCGATGATGATATCATACCGGCTAACCTGGGGCTGTGGGACCAGCACGAGGCCATCAAGTGGGTCAGTGAAAATGTTCACATTTTTGGCGGAGATCCAACTCGGATAACTGTGGGCGGACATTCTTCGGGTGCGTATAGTGCCGTATTCCAGGGCTTGTTCCCGGGGAACGACAATCTTTTCCACAGGGTCATCTCCCAAAGCGGAACTCCTGCGTCCCCGAAGGGCATCTTCCTCAAAAGCTACACAACCGCGAGGAATCTGGCGACCTCTTTGGGCTGTAACATCACGGGGGCGGCCAATACAAGTTCTGAGATCAAATCGTGTCTGATGAAACAAGACGCCACGCGCCTCGCCGAAGCGGTAGTGCCCCCTATTGTCCCTTTCAGTCTGGGTATTGCGCCCACCATCGACGGAAATTTCGTCGCCGTGGATCCATTCACGATATTGGAGAGGCCCTCTGAACGCGATCCCGCATTGAAGATTCCAGATGGGTTTAGGGGCAAAGATCTTTTGATAGGGTTCACTGCAGAAGATGGTGAGGTCATCTTGAGGCTGCGTGCCAGGGAAAAGGTCTTGGAGACCAACAACATGTCCTTTATTAGCGAGCTTCTCAGGTCGCCCCTTTCACGAGAAGCGTGGATGCAGCTGATATTTGAAATCCTAGCCGAGTCAAGTGATGACCGTGTGGACGATGTTTTAATCGGCGCCGTCCTGGACAAGTACATGGACTGGAGCGCCCCAGATGACCTGGTCGTGTTGAGCAATCGGGTCGTTAGGATGCTGACAGATGTTGTGTTCGCCATACCGGCTGTGAATACCGCACTGAGCCATGTGCTGAGTTCACACAACATCACGTTATCTATGCCCGGAGATGGTAATAGTACAGGTATCAACAGCATAGCCACCAACAGCACAGCCGCCAACACCACAGCCGCCAACAGTGATGCCACTAGCGGCACAGGCGGAACAACGTTCCTGTACAGGTTCACCCTGCCCATCACCAATGAACAGTACACACGGAAGTACATCTCCTGGTTGTCGGGCACCGAGCACTCAGACGAGATCCCATTCGTTTTCGGGCAGATAGTCAGTAACGGCTCAGTCAGAATCGCCAAAACCGTTATGAAATATTGGTCCAACTTTGTGAAAACAGGGTAGGTCTGTCTTTCATTTTTTTTTGGAAATGTATCCGTCTGTCTCTCATAAGCTGTATCAGAAATGTATATGTCCTTGTCTCAAAAATATGTTTTATCAGAAATACATCCGCCTGTCTCTCATAAAATTTATATATTTAATATGTTTTATTAAAAATGTATCTGCCTGTCTCTCCTATGCTGTATCAGAAATTTGCTTGTCTGTCTCACATCTTTTTTATCAGAAATGTATCCGTCTGTCTCTCATAAGTATGTTTTATCAGAAATGTATCCGTCTGTATTTTACATGTTTCATCAGATCAGAATTTGAAAATTCAAGAGCCATGTAAACAAATATCCTTGCCCCCGACCTTAGATGTTCACTGCATTTATGATTTTTTTGTATAGACTGAATTTCGTTACCTGTTGAATTATGTTAAGTGTATACGAGGAAACACCCATCCCGTTCGAGGCCCCTGGAAATATTAAATGTTGGATTAGATTACGGTAAATGGAAGTGAGTATGGACGGCATGCGAGTGAGCATGGGCATAATACAAGTGAGCATGGACGGCATGCAAGTGAGCATGGGCATAATACAAGTGAGCATGGACTGCATGCAATTGAGCATGGACGGCATACAAGTGAACATGGAAGGCATACAAGTGAACATGGGTATAATAAAAGTGAGCATGGACGGCATACAAGTGAACATGGAAGGCATACAAGTGAACATGGGTGGCATAAAAGTGAGCAGGGACACAATACAAGTGAGCATGGACGGCATACAAGTAAACATGGGTGGCATACAAGTGAGCATGGACGGCATGCGAGTGAGTATGGACGGCATACAAGTGAACATGGAAGGCATACAAGTGAACATGGGTATAATAAAAGTGAGCATGGACGGCATACAAGTGAACATGGAAGGCATACAAGTGAACATGGGTGGCATAAAAGTGAGCAGGGACACAATACAAGTGAGCATGGACGGCATACAAGTAAACATGGGTGGCATACAAGTGAGCATGGACGGCATGCGAGTGAGTATGGACGGCATACAAGTGAACATGGAAGGCATACAAGTGAACATGGGTATAATAAAAGTGAGCATGGACGGCATACAAGTGAACATGGAAGGCATACAAGTGAACATGGGTGGCATAAAAGTGAGCAGGGACACAATACAAGTGAGCATGGACGGCATACAAGTAAACATGGGTGGCATACAAGTGAGCATGGGCATAATACAAGTGAGCATGGACGGCATACAAGTGAACATGGATGGCATACAAGTGAGCAGGGACACAATACAAGTGAGCATGGACGGCATACAAGTAAACATGGGTGGCATACAAGTGAGCATGGGCATAATACAAGTGAGCATGGACGGCATACAAGTGAACATGGAAGGCATACAAGTGAACATGGGTGGCATAAAAGTGAGCAGGGACACAATAAAAGTGAGCATGGACGGCATACAAGTAAACATGGATGGCATACAAGTGAGCATGGGCATAATACAAGTGAGCATGGACTGCATACAAGTGATCATGGATGGCATACAAGTGAGCAGGGACACAATACAAGTGAGCATGGACGGCATACAAGTAAACATGGGTGGCATACAAGTGAGCATGGGCATAATACAAGTGAGCATGGACGGCATACAAGTGAGCATGGACGGCATACAAGTGAGCATGGACGGCATACAAGTGAGCATGGACGGCATACAAGTGAGTGTGGACGGCATACAAGTGAGCATGGGTGGCACACAAGTGAGCAGACATTTTGTTTAAGCGTAGGGAGCCTGTCAGCTGGCTAAAACATGCCGTAATTGAACGGCAGAATGTTTCCATCAGGGAATCAAAGGAACAAGGGTATGATGATTCAAATTGTGTAATTTGTGAGAGAGAAAGGGAGAGAGAAAAAAAAAGACACGAGTGTGAGAGAGAGACATAGAGAGAGACAAGGGGAAACGGGGTGACAAAACGGAGAAGATTTAGAGGGAAAAAATAGACGAAGGACAGTTTTTTAACTCTCATATATTGAACATCTCCTTTCAAGAGAAATTATTTTGGTTTACATTTTCTGTTTCTCTAGTTAGCAGTCCATCGTCTGTCTGCTGTAGTTAGCAGTCCATGGTCTGTCTACCGTAGTTAGTAGTCCATCGTCTGTCTGCTGTAGTTAGTTGTCCATCGTCTGTCTGCTGTAGTTAGTTGTCCATCGTCTGTCTGCTGTAGTTAGTTGTCCATCTCCTGTCTGCTGTAGTTAGTTGTCCATCGTCTGTCTGCTGTAGTTAGTAGTCCATCGCCTGTCTGCTGTAGTTAGCAGTCCATGGTCTGTCTACCGTAGTTAGTGGTCCATCGTCTGTCTTCTGTAGTTAGCAGTCCATCGTCTGTCTGCTGTAGTAAGAAGTCCATCGTCTGTCTGCTGTAGTCAGCAGTCCATCGTCTGTCTGCTGAATTAAGCAGTTCTTGGTCTGTCTGCTGTATTTAGCAGTCCATTGTCTGTCTGCTGTTGTTAGCAGTCTATTGTCTGTCAATATAGCAATTTATTGAGCATCAGTCCATGCTATACATTATGATAAAGTTGTACCGGTCCGTTGCACTGTAAGTTTGAGAAGCACTGTGTTAAAAATCCCATTGACATAAAGATCAGTTTGACATAATTTTCTTTTTGATGTAAATGTCACTTTGATAAGAAGATCAAATTGATATAAAGATCACTTTGACATAAAGATCACTTTCACATAAAGTTAAATTTTACATAAAGATCACTTTGACATAATTTTCACTTTGATTTAAAGATCACTATGATGTAAATAACACTTTGATATGAAGATCAATTTGATATAAAGATCACTTTGACATAATTTTCACTTTGATTTAAAGATCACTATGATGTAAATAGCACTTTTATATGAAGAATACTTTGATATAAAAAAATCACTTGACATAAAGATCACTTTGACATAAAGATCCCTTTGAAATAAAGATCATTTAACATAATTTTCTCTTTGATCACTGTGATGTAAATATCACTTTGATATGAATATCACTTTGATAACAAGATTACTTTGATATAAATATCACTTTGATATAAAGATCCATTTGATATAAATATCCCTTTGATGCAATGGTCCCTTTGACATCAATATCACTTTACACATTAAGACTATCCATATTTTCTCTTATCTTACCAGGAACCCCAACATGGCTGCCACCAACGGAGCAAACAGCACCAACGTGTATTGGAAAGCGTTCACAGCGTCGGAGCAAAGCTACTTGGAGATCTCAGCCCCCACGGAGTCAAAGAGTCGTGTCGACTCACAGTCCCATCACTTTTGGTATGATTTCATGCCTGGCCTGGAGCATCGCTTGGAACCGACCGCTACGTCCGCCACGACTCCAGCTGTGTGTGTGGTCGTAACACGTGACGCTAACAGTGGGTCGGGGTTAAAGGTCGACCTATTTATAACAATGACCCTAGTGATGGGTCTATTGTGTTGTATAATGTAATTAGGGAGACTTGAAGAATTTTATATATTTAGAAAAATTATTTTGTATTATTTTTAAAAACTTTTTTAAAAATTTTACAACTTTTTTTAAATAGTCTGGTGAGTGTGTGAGGGGGGGGGTGGGGGTGGGTGGGCGCATAAATATTAGACATACAGTTCACGAGATTCAGATGTTCTTTTAAGATAATTAAATCTGTTTTATACAAATATCGGAATACAACAGTTCAAGGGCGCATACCCATACAATTAAATCCAATAAATTCGGAAAATATTTCTTTTTTTCACTTTTAGCAAAATACAAACATGGAAAGGTTGGAGTGAAATTTTATGATACTAAGATATTTTTGTTTGTAAACCCACAAGGTATGATACAGACGTGGCAAATGGCTACACAATGACATATAAATATATAAGCCCCAACACTACTGATTCACTGAATAAATCACGTGATCTAAAAAACAACTCCATCAAGTGTTTTTTTTTTTTTTTTTTTTTTTTTTTTTTTCCATGGGGATTTTTTTTTTTTTTTAGGGGGGCACTTAAAAGTTTGTTTTTTTTTTTTTTTTTTTTTTTTTTTTTTTTTTTTTTTTTTCTTTTTATATTTTATTTTTATTTTTTTTTTTTTTTTTTTTTTTTTTTTTGTTCCCATGGAGATTCGTCTTATTCTCTAGGCGTGCACTGACAAGTTTGTTTGTTTGTTTTTTTGTTTTTTTATTTTGTCTTTTTTTTTCTCCTTTTAAATTCAACTTTTAGATGGGGGCCTACAATGACCAAAGTCCGAAACACGGAGATTATGAATGTTTTGTGCCGTGTCTGTGGTTTTTCAGTTTATGATTTGGAATACTTTGTTTGTTTAGTTCTTAATAAATATAACTATTTTTTTTTTATTAATTGGGTGTTACACTGTTTATATTTGCCATATTTAAACAAGAAAAGATTATACAAATAAATGTACCTGAACTATTCATTCGTATTACAAGAGAGGTAACAGTTGCATTACAAAAACTGAATCCAACATGATTTGCCCCCCTTTGAGTCTTGGAGAGGGAATCCTCCAGGGCCATTTGAGTGTGGAAGCAGATCATCATCCATGAAAAGAGGTTCATGGGAACGAAATGTCTCAGCACACAATTCAAGTGTGTAGAAACGTGGAACTGGCATTTTTATTAATATATAAAAAAAAAAAAAAAAAAACAAAACTCCTATTCAACAAAAAAAAACAAAACAAAAAAACT